TGGCCTGGGCTCGAACCTAGCCAAGTCAAGTGCATATTTCCTAGTTCAAGCGCCAGCGTGCTTGGGAAGGGAGTACCCAAGCACAGAGCGCTCCTATCTCTAGATGTGGGACGTTGAGGAACCGCGGCAGTGAAGGTCGAATCCCAGGGGAATCCCAATGCAAAGGGGAAAAATGCTTATATTTTCAGTAGCTTAATACTTTTTTTTATTTACGGGTCATTTAAGCATTTTCAACCTTCTGCAGTGTTTTCACTTGAGTTGGACATTTTTTCACTTGACTTTGACACTCATGGATGAGGAACGTCCCATGAACGTGTGTTCGAGTCAAGTGAAATGTTGTCTAATGGGAAAAAGGTGAAAATATTCATCACTCGCTTTACATACTTAGCGTTTGGCATACTTCAGGTGTAATTTCAATATCGGTTATCGGCAGGTCATATATCGTTTTAGGCCGATATATCGCATTCACTTAATATCGGCCGATACCGATAATCGATAAAATATCGTTGCATCTCTAATCACAAGGCACAGGAAGAAGAGAGATAGAAGTGAATTTTGCTGACCATTATACTGGAAGTAGAGCGGGAGGGTATAGTCTCTGATACAGCTGTAGTAGTTCTTGACCCACTCAAACAGATGGGGATGGGTGCTGTTGGGTCCAGTGGGGATGTGGAAGTCTACCAACTGGCACCTACAAAACAAACTTTTATTTTAATCTATTTTACCATTTTAAATCTCATGTTGCATTTTGCAGGATTGGAATACATTCTGATGGATTCAAGCAGAATTCTTCTTGAAATGTACTTGAACCATATTCCCCTGCATCAGAGCAGAAGAAAGTCTAATATGAAAAAAAGTTTAATAACCCTTTGTTACATAGTGCCCATGTTTGTGGACATTAAAAAAATTCATTTTAGAGCTCATTCTACACAACTTTTAATAGGACATCATTTCCATATTTGGAGACATCTTATCATATTAAAATCAGAGATGATGTACATTCTGTGTCTCCTACATGTTTCCTTTCAATATGCCATCCTCAGGTGGCCATAGGTGGAGGTCTTTATCATCATTTAACTTAATATGCATATAACAATTTTTTAAGTTTGCAAAACCACTGGAATGCACTTTTGAGAGAAGAAACTCACATATGGAGCAACAACAAGTTCTTCATTGGCATGTTATATGTTAGTTAGTTACTATAGCTCCTAAACTTGTTTGCCCACTCACAGAAAATCAGCATTTAGAGAAACAGAAAGTGTTGGACACTACATTTGAACATCGAGCATGTCCAGGCAGAGTGGGTTGCCCATAACTCTCAGGTACTTGGCAGTGGCCCTGGATATCATGCTTGAATCCTCCAATCTCACCACTCCTCTAATAATGTTCCCTTTCAGGTAATACAATTTTTCTCCTGTTTTAGTGTTCTGTTTTCAAGCACGTATTTCTTTGGAGGCATGAGGAAGTAGTTGTTTTGTGATATATATCACTCATTTTTTAGTATGAAGGAACTGAAGATTGGAGGTATAATGTAATGTGCACCAATGTGCATTAGAGCACACTACTGAAGATAATGATTTGAAATTTTGACTTGTTCTCACAATTGCTCTCTCACAGAACAATTACTTTTTTTTTTCAAGTCAAAATTTTCCAGAAATAGTATGGAATCATTTGTGCACTTATGTACATCATGAAATAAGGGTGCAGTTTTCTCCCACTTAAACATAGTCGAATATAATATTCATAGGCAGGTAGACCAGGTCAGAGTGGAATGGTTAAGCAGTTTTTGACTCATAAATCTATATCATAGTCACCATAAAATGCCTATTGGGCAGCATGTACCCTGAGGTGTGGTCAGTAATTAAGCTGTAAGTATTTAGGACATTCATGAAAGAAACTGAATTTGCAAATCCTTTTTTTCATAACAATCTAAATCATTCCACTTTGCCATGTACACAGGGCAGAATATAAGTGAACAATTTTAGACAAACTGTCACTTTATTTTCTTTTTCCCCAAAGAATTTATTTTTTTTCCCCTTGTATTTAGGAAAATACAAGTCTTGAGGGCTTAACATTTGAATGACATTGGAATTTCCAAGGGGTGAGGGTCATTGGTTAATCAGCACAATCTTAAGCTATGCAGCCTACTGCACACCCTGAGGGTACAAGAGGAGAACCTCTACCTTTGCACTCAATGGCCCATGTGGAGCATCAGACATTTTCACGTGGCCCACTGTCAATAAAGGTTGCCCATGTTTTAACCACATTTGAACACTGAACCAATGTCAAAGTTATTTAACATGCATGTCCTTAAAAACATTGAGAACAGTGTAGAGAGTGTGGGCTCCAATGTTTCATGAATGTGGAGTCTGGCCTATCTCTCGTGGCATTCAGTTTATCTCACCCCTCTGCAGGGAATGAATGGAAGTGTCTAAATACTTCAATTCAGTTCCTGCCTTGTGCATACATGTAGTGATATGGCAACCATCATACTTCTGACTAGACTATGTGCATTTGCAAGTAACTACATAGTGTGGCAAAAGTTTGGTGACAGATGTTACGATGTATTACAATTTTATTTTTGAAAATGTTTTTATTTCTGTGAATGCAGTTTTGTTCGTCTCCTTCTTAGCCACTTCATTAATGCTTGTTGTTTTCTGCCACATTTTATTTTTTTCCCCAGTTATTATGGTTAAAAATAAATCACTTTTCAACTGTCACCAAACTTTTGCCACACCCTGTGTATATGAATGTAGGCATTTCTCTTGGGCTTCAACCATTCCCTTCAATGAATCTTGCATGACACACAACCTGATTCTCCTTGAAGAGAGGAAAGTGATGACCTCAGTGGCCCCAATCCATTTGCATGTGTCCTGGACCTTGTACCCCAGCTGCTCTGCACCCTGACCATCAAACCCCTGCTTCCATGCTTCCTCAATCAGGGACTGTAGCCTCCTGATGGAGTACATTGTCTCCCCCTGTGGGAATACCAGAGGGGCGTATGCTGACGAGCACTTCATTGATGACAGCATCATCTGCAGGTTCCTAAAGAAAATTGGCATTTCTTGAAATTGTCCAACATCCTCAGGTCAATATTTTAAGGGATATGATCAGTTTAAATTTAACTCAAAGCTGATCTCAATTCCTTATCAACATCTATAGGAATGACATCATCTTTGATCAAGCCTCTCATCATAGGAGCAAATCATACAGGGTCTTTCAAAAGTTAGGCAACCCTATATACAGAATAAACAAGTGCTATTATATATTTAACTGGAATATATACACAACAGCGATTGTTTTAGGCATTGTTGGTTTCGTGTTTTTCACAGAAACTGTAAATGCTGAACGTTATCAACACATCATTTAGCAATTCATCACCATGTTAGAGATTATTGACTGTGACTTGTGGTTTCAAGAAGACAGAGCAACCACTCATAAGCAAGAATATCTGGCTGCTATGGTCTCCAGACTTGACGTCACCTGACAATTTCCTGTAATAAAATTTGAACATGCCAAATAAAATCTGGAGAGATTAAAACGTTACAGAATAATAGTTTTATACTACTTTTAATGCAGTGGTCAAATTGACTGCTCTGGTCCTTCTAGTATTATGGAAAGAATATACACTAACAACCCTAGAAACTTGGAAATGTTGAAGCAAAACATTGCACAGGCCATTGCTGGCAATACTCTTGCAATCTAACTGCATGTTTCTGTGAACATGCAAAAACATGTCTTAATGTGCTTGCATGAATGCAGTAGTCACTTCCAACATTTGCTACTACACTTTTATTCATGGGTGAGATGTGTTCCTTCAATAGTTTTGATCAGATTCTCAATTCAAGTTCCTTAAAAAAAGAAAGAAAAAAAGCTGTATATAATGGGCTGTGTGACTTTTGAAAAACCCTGTACAAGGCATCCACAAAGTCACTTAATACCTTTAAAAATTTGTTTTCATCCTAGTATTTTTTTTTACAAAAGAAAATTTGACTGTTACTAAGTGCACATATGAAAGTTCTTTTTAAATATGAGGGGTGTTAGAAAAGTAATGCCTGTTTGGCTATAAATTTTTTTTTTTTTCAAATCTTAATTTTTAATTAATTGATTTTAATGAAAGAAAGCCCATGAGATTCATAAAAAGACAAGGATTTTTTGCCATTCATGCAATAAAAAGGTTTGGAGGTTTTACTTATTTCCTTGAAAAGTTCTTCCTGTATTTCATGAAGGAAATGATAAACCTAGCACAATCATAGCCAACTTGTATTAGCAAAAGATCCTTCCCCAATTCATGAATTTGGCAGGAGTCATCAAGGCATTTCCAAAAGTCCAGTTTGAACAGTGGTCTATTTTCAGAGATATCTGGAAGAGTACCTTTGGAATGAATAAGTACTCTAGATTATGCAGCATAATGCCTCATTGATTTTTGCCATAAATTCAGGTAATTATGTTACCCATGCCTCATGCCTCTTCAGAAGTGAACAGTTTTCATTGAAAGACATTTTATGCATTAGAATTAGGCTTATTGTCTAATTAAAATTAGCCAAAATTGGAGAGATGACCCCAAAAACACGAAAAAGGTATTAATTTGTTTTTGACATGTTGCACGGTTGAGTTAACATTATAAACTACCACAACATTGCTAACATTCTCCCATGACATCAATGGGTACCATGATTGAGGCAAATCAGTTACTGACCTACTGATTAGGAATTTTTCTTTAGGTGCATTAATTCTAGGGTGGTTTGGAGTCCTCTTTTAAAAATGCCTCCTAATTTCCCATTGAACAAAAATAAGAGTGTCATCCTCTGAATCATTTAAATGATTTCTTCAAGAAATATATTCAGCACTTATATTCAATGCAAAAAATAATAAAAAATAAGAAATAACAGGATTTTGGAAAATATTTTTTCAACACCAAGTACAATAACTTCAGACTTGGCATTGGTATTTATTTAAATCTTAAAATCTTTAGTATGTGCACAAAATTATTATAAAGTTTTATTAATAACTAGGAAGCTACAAAATTCTTAATATGTTAAGTAAAATTATGGGCAAGGCATTGAAGCAATGTAGCAAATGTCATTTGTGTGTCTCAAAATTCTCCCCACTTCTTTTTAACTCACCTGTATCCACAACCCCAGCCCTTGTCCAGTAATCCAGCAGAGAAGTGATCAGCATAATTGCAAATCCAAGTCTTGATAACCTTGGGTGACTGACTGGAGAATTTCATCACTGCACCTGTCAGATCTGAACACCAAGGACATTCCTAATTACAAGCTCATCACATGACAGGTCAATGGGATAAAAATAAGCAACATATCCAGTGGTTTTTTTGTGACTACCCATAGAGAATGTTTATAAGCATTCAATTACGTTCCCCCCTCTTCACAAAAAAAAATTTGAAAGACAACAACCCAATAGATTGGGTCCACAGAATATCTCTGTACTGCTGCCTCAACCAATCAAAATCAGCATAGAACAATAAGAATCCACCTCCATATTGACCCACCTGGAGCCAGTCAGACTCCTGTCTGAATATGGTCACAGATTGGAGCTGTAAACAGCATAAGACAGCATAAGAAAAACTTGTCCATGCTCAATCATATACACTATTTGACTACCTGCATGCTGCAAACCATTACTTAGATTTTCTTTCCTTTTTGGTTTAATGCATGAAACCAGAAGACATAATGTGGTTTTTCTTAGATTAAAACTAATGGACTAACATAGACTAGTGGTTGGCCAATGTCCAAAGATTTCAATTTGCCAGATTCCACATGTAACTATCAAATTGATTCATGAATGGGAGAAGAGAGAGCAGAAGTATTACATGCAGCATGGAATAAAGACTCATGGGAACAGGAAAGGGAGAAATAAAGTTCAAAGGCATTTGTCTCAAGAATGATTAACACGTTGGCGACAATGCGTCCTGATGCCAGGATGCAGATTTTTTAATTACTGTAATTGAACTACTCTTCAATCTATTGTACTAGCAGTTGACTGAATATCAAAAAAATTATATTCTCGGCCAATGCGTCCTGATGGCAGGACGCATTTTTTGACAAAAAAAATGCGCGTGGTCCCACGTGGCGGACAAGCAAAAATAGGCTGGTCGTCAACGTGTTAAATTGAAATATGGACCCCAGGAAGTTAGACAGAAGACAATAGGGTAAGTGAGACTAATTCAAACCCTGCAATATAGTTTGCCCCTACATCAAATAATTCAAAGTAGAAATTAATCCAATGTGGCTTTTCAAACAAATTATACCTGTCCAGTCTTAAAATGTGAATGGACAGTGCAAGCATTTCTTCTCAAATGATGGAGGTCCCAAAATCATCAAGTTCAAAACATATGTGAAGAATATCATGCAATTCTACCTCTTCTTGTTCAGTTAACTCATCTCTAATGAAGCAGTCCATGTCATCCTCTCATTCAACCTAAAGTTCTCTTGAAGACAATTCATCCATATCACTTTCATAATTGAAAGGTTCTCTCATATCCTAGCCTGCTCAACTAAGTTTCTGTGAGCTTGTGTCTTTTTCTTATTCATGCTGCCACTTTTCACTTGGTTTCCTGATGCTGCTTCTTAGCTAGTTCCACTCTGACTACTGATCTCTTTCTTGGCTTTCTTTGGGATGTTAACATAGCTCAATATTCCTAAGTTAGACATCCAGACCACCATAATTTTCCATTTCTTAATGTGGGTTGATTTAGAGCCAACTTCTTGAAGCAGAGAGTTCTGAAATGAACACTTGTTCACAGATATTATAGCAAATGAGTAGAATATTCTTCCTGAATAAGGGCTTTTGATGGAAGGGTGAGAGCAGGTGGAAAAAGAGCAAGAGGTTGTTTTTGGGGTTGAGTTGACTTGATGGATGAGTTTTCAATAAGTAAAAATAACACTATGCACTTGACCTACAATGCCAGCCACTTTGCCAGTCTCATGAAAATTTAATGTGTTTCTTTAATTTTAGAGAAAATTTTAAAGAAACACATTAAATTTTCATATACAAGAATGGATTATGAAAAGCAATTAAAATTACACTACAAGTTTAAAATTTGCATTTCTGGCAAGAAAGAGGCCACATTTGGGATTCCTCCTGAATACCTAAGCAGGTATGAGCAATGTTCATCTTACTGATTTCATCAGAATCACTTTTGCATCCTACTAGTATTTGGGACTCTGCATCTTTCAGGCTTGTCCAAAAACTCTTTGTCCTCTCCAAAAATACAGTATGTAGGACCTTTATCACCTGACTAGATATTCAGTCAACTGCTAGTACAATAGATTGAAGAGTAGTTCAATTACAGTAATTAAAAAATCTGTTATGATTGAATTGGGTGCCACCTATGCTGAAATGCAAAGCATATTTGTAAGGCTGCATTAATGGCAGTCTTGGGTTGAGGGCATAATGGCCAGTTATATTGCATACATCAGTCAGTGCTAGTGCCAATATGCCATATGGAAGGGGAAGCCAACAAATTATTTGCGAACTACAATATTCTACACTAAGTTATCAATGTTTTCACATGGGCTAATGGGACATAAGACACTGCATCTTTGCACCATTCCTTGCTGAGTGCAGCCAGAAGCATGTTTTGGTTATAAAGCAAAAAATATGGAGGTGTGGCAGGATTCCCAATCCCATCATTTGAGATAGTCCTGTGGCATAGAATGGCTCAATTACATGTCTGTAAAATATCAAATTCTTGCCAAAGGGACACAAGAAACATAATCTGAACTAGAAAATGGAAAATCTTAGGCCATAGACCTATATATACACCCAGCCAAAAAAGAAACACATAGCTGAAACATTATTATAATGTAAGTTCAGTTCAATGAAGTTACGACATGTAGCTATCAATTCAAGTCGGGCAGAACAAACTCAAGTGTTTGACACCATTTTGCTCATGAATTTGCACAATCTGTAACCACATGTGCATAAATTAATGTTTTACTTAACAACCAAGTGCAATGCCCATGGATACCATTCTTTCAATGAAACCCTGTGCAATGTTGCAAGATGCTGTTTTTGATACATGGGCCGGGTTCTCATCAACAGGTTGGCAGTCATTGTAGTGCAGCAAAGCCGTCAAAGATGCCAAGACTCTCAAAGGTGGATTGCAATAATGCTACTGGGAGATTGGAAGCAGGTGAATTCCAGTCATCAGTTGCAAGAGACTTTAACATGTTCACTGCCAATGACACACCTCGTCGTTATCCTTTCCATGGAAACTAATGTTATTGGCAGTGAATGTGTTAACTGGCTCCAGAGTATCGTCTCAAGGTTATGGGACCGGTTCCAGCAACATGGTTCAACGTGTGACCATCCACAACCTGGCACATCACACATCACCACCCCTGCACAATATCGATACATTCAACTCAGATATCTGCGGGATCAGTTTGCTACAGCAACCTTTACAACATCAGCAGTGCCTGGAAGGCAGAAAATGCCACCTCAAACTATCTGTAAACTGCTTCCGGGTAGCAGGTTTGAGATCATGACAACCACTCTGAGGATTTGTCCTGCAAGACCAGAACAGGGGACTTAGTTTTCAGTGGTGTCACAGGCACAGGGTATGCTCTCAAATGCATTGGAGAACAGTCATGTTCAGTCATAAGTCCAAATTCTTACGAGAGGTACTGATAGTTCCAATTGGGCTATGCACTGTCACTATGCGTTTTTTTTTGAGCGAGTATACTTGGAAAAGAGTGGAGATGTTCTCCAGAATGCTGATCTCTTTAATAGACCCAGGTTCTAGACACAGGAAAGAGAGATTTAATTATACCATATACAATCTCTATTTATTGATGACTGATGCTGATAGTTGCTAATACATCAGCATAGCCCAGCAAATTTGAATACATATCCTTGAAAGAGTTGATGCCAAATTAATTCTATTTTACAAACCTAGATATTGAAGTCTTACCAAAACCCATACCTATCACAAAGCCATCAAGCAGGTAACTGGGTAAAACTTTCTGATGGTGAACCAGTTGCTACTGATTGGATATAAGTAGGCTTTAACCAATTTTTTCAAACTACTCATATTGGGAAAGGAAGACAGGGAATCACTAAAATGTCCCTAAGGGTCAATTTCATCTGATGAGAAAAAATCTGTAAGGAAGGGAACAACAATTAGCAGCTCTCTCTGAGGAAGCTGCCTCTGACCATAGAATATAGTGAAGTTAGTACTTTCCTGATTCTCAAATTTATTCTGTTATAATAGTAAAAGGATGACTTCATGGCATTAACTCAACATAATACATAAGAGCAAGAGTCAGTAAGGGACATATCAAACAAACCTCTCGTCATGATGGAGCTATCATCAGTGATGGATTCACTGTGGGAGGTGCGATGCTGGATCATCTTCACGTGGTAGTCCACTGCAGACAATTGCCCTTGTTCAACTTTGCGGGTCAAATGTTGTGAGTAGATATCACTTGCTTTCTTTTGACTCATTCCATATTCCTCCTATACACAAATGCCCACATATATACTAATAAAGCTCCCATCTCAGACAAGCATTTCCACAGAGACATAGACAAAGAAACTCACTAAAGGAGTATGAACAATATTTAAATTTCACATGCAAAAATTATGACAGACAAAAAAAAAACCTAAAAATTACAGCAAATCAAATTTCTTTATTTTCAAGGTTAACCCAATTCATACAGATTCTAACGCCTTATTTTCAAGGTTAACCCAATTCATACAGATTCTAACACCTTATTTTCAAGGTTAACCCAATTCATACAGATTCTAACACCTTATTTTCAAGGTTAACCCAATTCATACAGATTCTAACGCCATGAAATGAAAGTAATGTAAGCCAGTAAAAATATCTGGAAATGCATTTTAAAATTTTGTAAAAAAAAAAAAAAAAAAAAACCTGGGTAATTTTGCCAGAGAAAGAGTGCAGCCAACCGCCCATAGGTGATGTGCCCCATTTTTTAGGCCGTTGAATTTATAGTCAAACTTGGTATCAAATTAAAGATCTCGTCGAGCTGATTACGAATATATAGGTTTCAAGATCTAGTCTTTTACCGTTGCAGAGAAAGCGGGCTCTAAAGGTACCAACCCCAATAGATGGCGCCACAGGTTCTAGTTATGAGTAGTTGTGTGTTGGCTAGATCTTGATCGCGGTTATCAATAGGATCTCTGTTGA